GCCTCTGTGAAAGCGGGGTCCCTATTTTATTTTGGCTGAAAAATAACTAAAATAGCAGGTAACATTATCAGGTCTCATAGGCCATGCTCTGTTCTATGGACTAGCTTTTTGCTCCTTAAAGTGTGGTCCCAGGATCAGCAGCTTTGGCATCACCAGGGAGTTTATTAGAAATGCAGAAACCCAAGCCCCACCCAGACCTACTGAATCAGGACCTCCATGCTCAATGAGATCCCCAGGTGATTTATGTGCACATTAAAGTTTCGCACAGTTTTATCTCATTTAAGCCTCACAACAAACACACATGCTACCTATTACTATTTCCCAAGAGGGAAACTGAGGCTTAGAAAGGCAGCATCACTATAGTGTAGCACAAAGACCAGACCCATAGCAGCTGCTAATTAATACTTGCGGGCGGAAGGACAACAGGGAAACAGGTAGGAAGGAAAGGACTGGGTAAACGTCTGACCTCTAGTTCTGTCTAGTTTGTACCAACTGCAGCAGCAGGTGGGCCTGGGGTCCCAAAGCAGGCAAGCTGCAGCGACACAAACTGCCTCCTTAGCTCAAGTCAGGTCAAATCCTGTGGGCACCAGCAGTGTGAACACTCCAGGAGCTAGGGACAAACTCTTCCTCCAGAATATAACGTGCAGGAAAATGTACAGTCCTAATTACAGTGAGCTTAGGTGCCCTCCTCTTCCCTAAATGAAATATTAGCCCACAGATAAATGGTAACATTTATAACTCCCATGACGTAATGCAAAAAATTTCAGGTTCCTCCCTCTTTATTTTTACCCAAAATATACAAATGATTTATACAGAGTTTAACAAATGGGCATCTGAAGAAAGGCAGCAAACAGCTTTAGAGGCCCTTAAATAAGTTTTTTACTCAATGCACTTATGGTGTTGGGGTAGAAGAAAAGAGGGGACCTGAGCTTGATAATCTGCTCCTTTTCTAAGAGCCCAAACTCCTTAACTACTGATAATCATTACTCAGGTAGATGAGGATTAAGCAGAACAACAGAATGCACCCATATCAAGTTGTTTTACTTATACTGGTTGGTACCTTTGTTGTTATTAAGTGTCACTGCCAGTCACTCTTCCAAGTGCTTCATAGCAATTCATTGAGTCCTTACAGCAACCCTATTATTAACCCACTACACAGACAGAAAACTGAGAGGCACAGAAGTAGATGCACAGATTTGACCTCAGAAACCAAGTTTTCAACCATGACACACTTTTATCAAGGTGTACGTCTTTTGCACGGGGAATTAATTGGGGCTGGGGAAGGGAGGTAAGGAATTGAAATCTGTTCGCTTTGTAAAAGAAAAAAGGATCTTTTAACTTTTTTTTTCCACATAGTAATAGTAATAGGTAGCATGTATGTTTGTTGTGAGGCCCAACACGAACACTTAGAAATGTTAATTTGGAGGGCCTTCTTAAATTTAAATCTATACAACCACTCCTCTGACCAGAAGACCCAGGAGGTCTTGTCAAAGCACAGACCAGGCTAACTGGCCAAGACAAGCAGCAGGGAGTGGGTGAGATGGAAAGATGCTTGATATAAAGGGACACCTCTCAGCTCACTGCCCACGCTCATCTGCCTGGTGGAACAAGCTAGAACACGGAGAAAATCACTCTGGAAAGGAAACTTGCCATTCTAAACCACAACTAGTAAAGCATTAAGAATGCAGCCTCATTCTCAGATGTTGGGAAACACTGATATATGCTGCAGAGCCTCTAAGAAGAATGGGTAGGATCCCATCCCCCAGCAAAAAAAAAGAGCTCCTATTCATACTTTTAAACCTAGTTTGAATTCAAATTCTCCTTTTCAGCTTTGCCACCAGACCCTGAAAAGATCATCTCAGATGCTGCGATTCCTAGAACAAATTTTAACCACCTACTTCACTCAACAACTAATCATATACACACTTGCAAGATCATTTCTACTTGGCTTGAACTTGTATTATTATGTAGACTTTTTAAGGTCTTGCTGCCTTATTCTTTATTGAGATGAATAGAGTGTAGAGGAGGGGTGCCTGGGTGTCTCAGTCCATTAAGCGTCTGCCTTCGGCTCAGGTCATGATCCCCGGGTCCTGGGATCGAGCGCTGAGTGGTATGGCTCCCTGAGAGCCTGCTTCTCCCTCTCCCTCTGTCATTCCCCCCACTTGTGCTCTCTGGCTCACTCTAGCTCTCTGTCAAATAAATAAATAAAATCTTTAAAAGAGGAAGGAAGAAAGGGAGGAAGGGAGGGAGGGAGGCAAGGGAAGGAGGAAGGAAAAGAGTGTAGAGAGTAGGGAACACATTTGAGAGGTCCCCAAGCTCCCCAGCTGCCCTCTGCCTCAGCAGAAGGCCTGGTACAGAGCAGGAAATCAATGAATGAGTGATTGATTTCTATGCAAAGACAAGTCAGATCTCTGAAAATTCAGCTTTGGAAAAGTCAACCGCTGAGAAGGCAGGCTTTCAGTCTGTTACTCATGCATGCTTGGCTAGTCCAGTTTCCTCTTCGAATAATTAATTGAGCTGTACTGGGGGGTCTCGAGGATCCTGACACCGCCTGTGCCACATACGGAACACAGTGTTACAGGAAGCTGCTTCACCAGACACACCTGACCTTCCATCCATCATACCATGGCTCATCTGACGGCGTCCACATGCTAGAGCAGCACTATCCTGCCATGCTCCTGCAAGATGTTAAACACACCCACATTTTTTTCAAGAATTTCACAATTAATGTCTGGAATGCATTTTGGATTATTCTTCAAAGGATGACACAGTTGCCGTAAGATGAATTCAATATTTTTCCTTTCTCCCATTTGTCGTTCTTTGGTCCTCCCACTCCCTTATCTTTTTAGGGTCATCTACTTACTCCTCCCAACTTCATAATGCCTGTCCCCAGCACCCCCAAGCTGTTCCCTTGTTTATCCAAGTCATTGCTTCTAACCAAGCCGCACGGAACAGAGAAACCTGCATGCACCATTTCACTAAATACCTCTTATCGCTAGACACAATGCCCACAGTTTAAGGATTCTTCAAACAGTTTTCTTCATAAATTAGCCTGTTCACAACTGCATTGCCAACATACTTGCATGTGGATTCTGCTGGTCACTGTTAAGCATGAATTAATGGCAGCAAATCTCTCTAGACGTGCTATTTTTGTCTTTCTGGTACTATGCAATTCATTTGCCCTTTGCCAAGTGTTTTATGTGACTGGATTCCTGAATAACAGGATTCTGTAAGCTTGAGAGTCAAAGCGAAGGTCACCAAGTCCTGTCATTTGTGCGGTGAATAGTCTCTCCATATTTTGTCAATATTTACTTCTGGGAGGAACTAATTATTTCCTTGTTTACTTGCATTGGTTTCTCTTTCCATACCCTAGTATCGTAATTTTATAGGCCCTCTGCTGGCTTTCTCTAGGAGCTCACTCCACCTGAAGACTTTGAGATGGAAAGCAAAACACATTCCTCAAAAACAAGGAGTCCTGGGTGTGTCAAGTTTTCAAATGCCAATATAGGAGTATTAACTTGGCCCCTCCCCTCTTCTTTTTAATTAGTAAAATTAAAATCCATGGACTCTTGACTCCAAGTCCTACATTTCAAAGCAATGAGAGGAGATCCGTGTGGCTTGTGCATTAACCAAATGGTTTGGTTTGGGAAACAAACCTGCCTCCTGCACCCTGACCTCAGATCCTCCATACACTCTTTTCCAAAGAGCCATCATTTCTATCCCCGACTCAGTTTTCCAGGGTTTTGAAAAGAAACTATAACCTTCTAAAGGCAACAGGTTCAGAATCCAACATTCTGTTTGCTGTAAGCACCCACCACATAACCACAGTATGGTTTTCCTCCTCACTGTCCCCATGAAAACTAGGTGGAAGGAAAAGTTAAAATACCTGGGAGAAATAAAAGAACTGTGTTTTGAAGGAGATAGTTTGGGAGATGCCATGATAAAAAACATGGAAAGTTCCATAAAGACGAAGCTACTGAGTAAACATGCACTGGGGGAAAAAAAAAGTTGGTTCTTGTCTAGGACAGCGATCACCTGGCTCCAGTACAACAAAGTTCTCGGGGCCGAGCCACTCAGTAATGTCTGCCAGGTTCCAAATCACTGTCCTCACAAACTGTCAAACTCAAGCCATCATGTGCCTTTTTACTATGTAGAGAGAGAAGGCTGCTCACGCCCCGCCCCCCTTGCCCCGACCCCTCACAACAGAAGCATCATGTACTATTCCACATAAGAGGGAAAATGGTCCTCACCCCCATCCCAAAATAGAATCCTCATGGTACAATCAAAACCTTCTTCCTAGAAAATCCCGCTTTGGTAATTTTTCAAAACTCTGTTTTTGATCTCCCATCCAGTCTTCTTCCTCAGGAGTTCAGAATTCAAACTTGTTTCTCTGGCTTCTAGGCGATTTACCTGGAGGCAGGCAGCCCAGCCAAGGGACAGGCTGCTTGGGAAGTCAGAAATGGCCACAGGGACTCACCTAATGAGTGGAAACAATAAAGAGACTTGTGCCCTCCTGGGGGCGAAAAAGCACTTTTTAGACTGCGAGAGAGCAGGAAAAAACTTTAGGTACTTGGCTCTATGGCTCTCGATTTTTAAAATGCACTTAAACCAAAAATGTATTTTTTTTTTTTAAAAGAATGATTTGGTTGATAACAATCTAAACAACGCTGAAAAGACCAAGTGTACATGTATGTCACGTGACTCATGGGGCACAACTCTTCACATTATTTCATCTTTCAGAAAATATTTTTTCTTCACTATTCTTTCTATGGAGAAGACTGTTCATCCATTTGCTCAATACACATTTATTGAGAGCCTACTATGGGCTGGCGTGCTTTCAAAACCTAAGACAGTGAGCCACAGGTTGGAAGGGGTCCACTTTTGCTTCTGATTTATCTAACTCATTATGTGAACCACAGTTTAAAAACATGATTTTTTTTTTCACCACAAAGCCAGAATGGAGAGTAACACAAATAAAAACTACTGCAATTTGGCAAAGGAACAATGTAACTGGTATTTAATTTATGTCCTCGAAAGCTGGTAGATTAGTAATGATAATATATCTATAACATGCAATAGGATATCTCAGTGTAGGCAATTAAATAAGTTTTCAAAAACAGTTTTCATTAACAGATACAACCAGTAGGGGTCATTTTAGTGCAAAAATTGCAACGAAAGAGACTTCAACATGATTAAAATTTATCAGTTCCTAGTCACGTCTGTTATAATAATCGTGCTTCAGTGTGTGAATTTCTCAATAAAAATGGAAACTGAGGGAAAGACTAGCCATTGAGAAGTTTCTTGCAAACTAACAAAAAAGAGTCTGCACCTTCTAGGTAATTACTGACATTTAAAGACTCCTCTAATTTTATAAAAAGAAAAAAAAAAGGTTATTTATCCTACGTTTTCCATAAATTTTGTAGCCAAGTGAAAATACTTGAAATTTCAGACAGACGATTGACAGTATCTGTGTAAATCCAAACACTGTATCATGCCAGGTAGCCCCTGTTCTTACTCTGGTTTAATGGATTTAGAATACAACTTGAAGGCTGCTTTTAGAATTCTAAAAAGATTAGATAAAAAGAAATGCTGAGCGCCCAGTTTTGGCAACTGAAAACAGTCCTGCTAAATGAAAAGTGTTGCTAGAGAACGCTAATTGAGATATAATCACGGAAACAAGTACTTCCAAGCATCTTCGAGGCTAATACCAAGTGCACGGGGTATTACCAGAAGGAATCAAACTAAGAGGGATCGCATCATTTCAGAGGAATGAAAAGCTCACGACAAACTGCCAAAATAACTCTATACCGTGATACTGGAAGACTGGTGCCAAAACACTCCATTCCCGTGCAAGCCCCCAGCTCCACATTTCCTTCACCAGCAGTACATCGAGAAGAAACAAAACAAGGGTCAGAATCGTTGAAACCTCCAAAAGTCCTTCTCAGAGCATAGCAGTTTCCACTGCAGTTAGCCTTCTTTCATGTTGCTTGTTCTTTTTAGATTTATGGGAGGCTGGCTTAAGTAAATTATACACTCCAAGAGGCAGGGTTCAAAGATGCATCTTTGAGTCCAACTCATTCAGAATTCCCCAAATCAAACACATAAAATTGTATCAGAAGTTAATCTCCTGACCATTTCTTCCTGATGTGAGAAATAAAAACACATGTATTAACACGGGACTTGACACCAGTTCAGAGGCTTTTGTGTTTCAGGCAAATAAACTCTTCTCGCCCAATGTCCTAAGGGTGCAGCAGGGCAGGGCCCCTTCCCTTTGAGAAAGTTCCCTTCACTCCATACTGCCCACTAGCTTCCAAAACAGAAAAGCCTCCTTGATTTTCCAGAACTGTCCAAACTCTAAAAGGTGTAAATAAATGTGTGTGTATTTAAAGAAAATCACAGAACTGAAGTCTTTTAATAGACCCATTTTATCCTTAAGATTGCCACCTTCTTTTTCAGTACTTCGGCACGATAAACAAAACATGCACACAGAAGGATGCCTCAGAAGAAACCCTTCCCTGGTGTGCTGGGTCTGGCTGTTGAGTGGTAAGGAAGGGCCCAGGTCAGAGAGCGACAGGTCGCTCCTCCTCGCCGCTTCTCCAGAAGGCAGCTGCTCTGCACCAGGATGCCCCGGAACAGCATCATCACCCCGACGTCAGCCCGAGCAGGGATCCCGCTTCTAACTGGTGCTCACCGAGTCCTGCCCAACAGCCAAATAAAAAGAACTCACTGCCCCTCTTTCTAGTCCCCAAACCTGACCAAGCACCCGGAGGCCGAGGCAGGCAGGCAGGGCTCAGGGCCGACACCCGCTCACAGGGGTCCACCCAACCAGCGGAGGCTCACTGCTCTAATCTCTTTCTCCCTCCGTCAGTCTCCACACCCAGGTGCACAATGCTTCGTGGAGAAAACAGGAGTACAGCCTTCGCTGTCAAACAAACAGAAGGAACCGGCAACACGAGAGGAAACACGCGGATATCTGATCTTAAAAAGCAGCCACGAATAGTCAGCAACAACTTTTCACTCCTAGGTGCAACACCCCCCCCCCCCCCCCGCCCCCATTCAGAAGAGCAAGCCTTTGACTGTTTTCAATAGGCAAATAAATGAGTAACCACTGTATGTAACTTCCCCTGGGCTGACATATTCCGGAGCTGAAACTGATTTACATGCGAAGGAGGAGGAAGGGGGTGAAGGAAGAGAGCAAGGAAAAAATAATAAAAGAGTCACACAGGGAGCGTGAGCTGAAGACACGTCTCCTCGCCAACAGAAAAGGGACTTTCGAGATCGGTGTGCAGCACTCGGCAGCACACTGCGCTTGTGCGGGGAGGGCGGCAGGGGCCGGACTCCCCGAGGGGCTCGCGACAGCCTCCGCAGTGCCCCCTGCCCGCCGCGCCCCCACCTCGGGGCGCGGGGCCCGCCCCACCCCCCGCAGTCCCAGCCCGAACAGCCACACGTGTGCGGGTCTGGCGCGGCCACCCCCACCCGCCCGCCCCCACCCACGAAATCCACCCTCGCCGGAGGCCGGCCCAGCGTCCGGGGAAGCGGGCGAGCGGGAACCAGGGGACGGGGGGGCTCTCTCCCGGGGGCGGCGGCCCCCTCCTCCCGCGGAGCCCTCTCTTCTCGGGAAAGTCTCCGCCAAACTTTGTTCGGCGCAGCCAGGTGGGAGGGGGCCCGCGGCGGGCGACCGTACCTTCGCATACGCCCACTTCGTACTCGGTGATGGAGTCGCCATTGAGCGGGGGGCGGATGACACAGCGCAGCCCCCGGTCGCAGGCTCCGTGGAGCCCGTAGGCGCCGCCGCAGCTCTCGTTCCTCTGGCGGGCGCACATGTAGCAGCAGCCGCAAACGCCCTGCACGATGCTCCCGGGGCAGCTCCTGGGCTCTTCGCACTTGGACTCGTCGCAGGGCAGGCAGACCAGCGCCCGGGTGCCGGAGCGCGCCAGCAGCAGCAGCAGCCCCAGCAGCCAGACCAGGAGGTGCCCGCAGCCGGCCAGCCCCCTGCCCCCCGCCACCAAGTACATCCTCCTGCGCCGCCGCCGCCTCCTCCTCGCAGCCGGGCCGGGAGCGGGGCGGGC